ATACATTACTATCAGTAAAAGAGTCTTGGATGTAGGACTGGAAGGTTCTTAGAAATAAGCTGGTCTGCCTTGTTCCTTGTGCGGGGGAGGAAACCGGGCTGCTGCCGAAAGTGACTCGTTCAAAGTCTTACCAAAAGTGAGTGGTGTGGTGGTGGCCTTTGCTGAGTATGGTTAACACTCTTATTCGTCAGAGGCCATTTGATCTGCAGAGGCGTGCTCGTCCCTGGAGCAGGTGCCTGGCTGGCGTCCTGGCGTGAATCTGATGCGGAGGGTGGTGGCGGCTGGAGGAGTGGCGGCAAGAGGAAGAAAAACAAGCAGCAGGAGGACACACGGGGAGAGGGGGGTTTCTCTAAGTCCTGGACACAGCGTGCTCCACCCAGGCCTGATTACATGTGTGGCCCGGAGGACCAGCTGAACCGCGCACCTTGTCTTCCCGTCCTGGATCTGTCCTTCACCTGCTGGGTTTTACACGTGGACACCTGGCTTGCACATCCAAGAAATATCCGCACCTTCCAAACAGCTACCGCCCGGGCAGTGCTTGGACCTGGGGGTCTGCTCACTGCAGTGCGGCCCACCCTCGGAGGGCTGGCCGGAGACAAGGCCCTGGCAGGAAGCAGGCTCCCAGCTGTTTGGGAGGCACTCCTGTCTCGGCTCAGCTGCCCGGACCCGCTCTGGGTGGAAAAGTATCTTTGGCCCCACAGACGCGCCACCTGAGAGTAAGGAGGGCCTGGTGCGCAGGGGCAAGGCCTGGCCTCTAATGCCGGGATCGATGGTGGCATTGGGAGTGTGACTGAGAGAGGGTGCTGATTCACGCTTGTCATGAGGCTCTTGGGTTGTGCCTTCCAAAGTGACAGCTTCTGGAGAAACAGGGAGTAGGCAGTGGTGAGCTGCTGTTTGATGGGGCACGGGGTTCTCCAACCCAATGGACACCCGGGGCAGCGTGGTGTTTCTGAGCAAGGCTAGCAAGACGCTCTGCGGGCAGTCACCGGTCCTGAGCTCCCTGAGGTGGCCCTCTGGCTCTGGCCATTCTGGAGGAGGGTCCTTGCAATAGCCTTGCTTTAGCTTGATATTTCTACAAAGCCATCATGTCCGCGTAAGGTCTTGTTCTGAGGCCACCAACGTAGAGAAAAGAGCTGGAGGGGACACAGTGCCAGCCCAGGCCCACCTGTTGTCCATGTGCTGTCTGTGTAGCCCCTTCTTGTCAACCTGCCCAAGGCTTCATTTGTCGAGGGTGAATTTTGTTTGTGTGATTTTAACATCAGGTGGTGAGTGAAGAATAATGCATATTTATAAGTGACGATATTTATTGTAGCGAATATTTTACATAGCTCTAAAATAAAATTCTAATACTCAGTCTGGACACTGACAGCATGTGCCACGTAAGGACACAGCTTCTAGGAGGGGTGGGCTGGTTTTGTGTTTGGAGACCAGACGGCCAGACTGCCTGCCTGGTGGCCACCCACCTGTTCACCCAGCGGGTGACCTGGGGAAGGGGCTCAGACCCCTCTTCGACTGAGTTTTCCTGTCTCAGACTCTAGAAATTCATAGGTAGAAGAATTGAAAATGCTGATCTGTGTAAGGAACACAGAAACACACCTGGGACACACTCAGTACGTGTTTGACACTGTTATTCCCAGGGAGGCTGGTTTGAATGAAGATACTTGTTTGCGTAATCAGGCCTGGTGTGTGTGTTAAAACATTATCTGCCCATTTGTGGAGACAATTTGTGTGTTTCTAGGGCATGCTGTAATTTGATCTGGGGCGTCAGTCCTTACTTGTCGTAACAGTCACGAAAACTTAAAAGAAACACAAGGATTAGTTTTAATCATTGAAACACATGCGACTCTTTTTTTTGTGAACATTCCACTCATCCGATTTGGTGGTTTTCAAGCTGTGTTTCCATTCCTGGAGTTCTGTGCAGCGGCCACGATGTGTTGGGGGCAGTATGGAGGGTTGGGGGTCCCTGTGACATCGTTTTGCCCTGGGCCAGACACCCCACCTCACCCAGAGCAGATCCCCCATTACCTATTATACACAGTGCAGTTCTGGGTAAGATTCTGTTTAGAAGAGCTCCACTACTAACAGGAGCTTGAAAGCCAGCAGCGTGGTGCGTAAATCATCCCTAGTGCTCCCCACCCCCCACCCCTGCTCCCATTCGGAGTCTGCCTCGGGGACATGATTGTGCTAGTATCAGCCCGAGCAAAACATAATGAGGCAGGTAAATCTGCGGCAAAAAGTAATAGGGCATAAATTAAATCAATTAGATATAAATCAGATCAAATAGAAAACAACGCATTCAATTATCCGCATCGCTGCTTCGCCGCTGCAACGTGGGTCTCGGAGAACAGACAGGGTTTCCTTCTGGGGAAGGGCCGCCGCGGGGGAGCCGCGGGGGCCCGTGGGTCGTGTCGGCCCCGGAAGGCGGTGCTCGGCCCGCTGAGTGTCGGGTAAAGATGCTGCCACGCCGGTCAGCTAAGTTTCCAGGGTCAGTGAGTGGACCCACTGCCCATCCGTCTTAATTGTCTTTGTGTGTGGCTGGGAGCGACTATTTATGAGAGACTATGAGATGCTCATACGGAATCAATTTTGTGGTGAGCCGTTCGCTGAGGTTACTGGTTGGACGGATTCCCACGGGCCCGGCGAGGCTTTCGGTCTGGAGGACAGATGGCAGCGATGGCCCGGTGCGGCACCGGTGCAGGCCCGGCCCAGGCATTCCCTCCCCAGCATCTCTGGGGGCGTGGTCTGCGGCCGCTGTCCCTGTGTGCAGCCCCTCAGACTCACCTCCCTCCGGAAGACCCAGTCTCCGTCCAGGGGGTGTCTGGGATTGTCCGGGGGGGATTCCACGTGCTGTTTCCCACTGTCCATCGGGTTCTTGTCCCATCGTGACTCCTGGCCTCAGGAAACTCTGCTGCCACATGCGCTGCTGTTCTTCCCCTCCCTCTCCTGCATCTGGCTGACCTCAGCCCGACGGGGACACCTCCCTCTGCAGAATGCAGGTCTGCAGCAGCGGGATGGCGGTGGTTAGAGCGAACCCACACTGGTTCTGGGGGATTTGCGATTGATACGAGGTTGCTTGTGCTCAGAAATCACAGACTAGCGGAGGTGGTGATATTCAAAGCCAGTTCTTAGCGTTGATGAAGAGCAATATGTCCTCTGCAATCCTGCCGTAGGCTGACTCCCCTGCCCCCAGTACGTACCCCAGAAGACCTGACCTCCCCTTGCTCCTTTTGACCAAGGGACCACCACTCTTCTAGCACCTGTAACTTCTTTTACAGTTTGAGTTCCCATTTGGCAGCCGTGGAGGGCAAGAACCATGTCTTTGTGCTCATGTTTTTAACCTAATAGGTGACCGATAGAAATCGGAGGAGTTGGTAAGCTTGTGGATGGATGGATGAATGACCGTCCCAGGTCAGATGCCCTCGCTGCTCTGCGGCACCAGGCAATAGGAGGCCCAGTCCGTCCTCCCCTCCCTGACCCCCTCCGCTCTCTGCAGGCGCCGGGACCTCACGTCTGGTTTCAGTAGGAGCTGCTTGCTGGCTTGTCCCATGGGTGCTTCCCCCTCCAAACCGTGTCTCAGTGCCGCCCACTTTATTTTCCAGAAAAACCCATTTCTACCTTGTTGCTCTCCTGCTCCAAAGTGGAATGATTTCCCATTCACCATGGGATAAAGCTCAGAAATCCTTCGCTGGCCTTCAGGGCTGACTATGGACTGTCCTTGGTGTTCCTTTGAAAGTGATTTCAATGGTAAATATTCCAAACACAATGGACAATGCAACAAATCTCACTTACCTCCCCCCGCTGTCCCGAGGTTTAACAACCATTAGCTTTTCCCCGTTTATTTTTTCAAGTAAGTAAACATTGCAGATGCAGAAGGACCCCCTACTCCTGCCCTTCCCGCCCCCTCTCCATGAGAAGTCGTCACCCCCTGTTTCCCGTCATCTCTTGCTATTGACTGGGAGCCATTTGATCCAGCTGCATTCATCACCTTATGAAAGTTTCATTCTTCCTCCTCCTTCCTTTGAGGCCCAGTTCTTCCCACCTCTTCCAGTAGCTTTCCCACCAGCCCCACAGTGTCTAAACCTCTGCACAAGTTATGGTCTCCATCACCCACCCAGGGACAATAGTCTGCCTGCGACAGTTGTTACGTAGCAGTTGGAGCCTAGCCCTGGGTGGTTGTCTATTTCCCTAAGAGTGATGTTTGCCTCTTGCCTTACATTCTACCCGATGGTCTGCATGCACTCTTCTCCGTTAGGTAACACTGTTGAGAAAACCATCTGAGTCCGTTTCATGTGCTCATTCATCCTGCAGATACTGACCGAGTGCCTCCTTCCGGGCTCCAGGAGCTGTTTTAAGCCCTGAGGATGCAGGAATGAATGCAACACACAGTTGCTGTGCTTGCGGGACTTACACTCCAAGGGGTGAGGGGAGGAGTTACTCGAATAAGTGAATATGTCAAGGTGACTAGTGCTAAGGGGAGGAAGAGACAGGGGAAGCCTTAAGACAGGGGACCTCCATTTTAGGTGTCCTTTACACGTAAACACGCGTGCCCCCGGTGTGCTCCACCGTGCAGCTTGCACAGGAGGCACTCCGCACACGTGTGTGGGAGGCACAATGTCCCTGCCCCAAGGGATCAAGTTGATTGCCTGCCCACCCGACGCCACCCCGTGTAGACCGCCGTTTTTGGAAGGTGGTTACGGGAAGGTTGACTGGAGTCCTCTGTCGCCAGGAGCACTTCCGGGTCGTTCCTTCACCCTATCTGTAGGGTGGACGTGATAACAGGCTTTAATACTGGCCCAGGTGGAGCCCAGACAGGGGGACGGTCTGCTTCCCGGCAGCACATCAACTCCACGGTCACGTGGAGTTGGTGCATGGCATCGTCTTTCCTGCAGTTCTTCAGCCACTGGACTGAGGCTGGTCCAGTTCCCCAGGGTTCATCTGTGTGGGGGTGGGATTGAACTGTGATGCCAAGAAGACCGATGTCCTCTCTCTAATTCTTCCAGCCTCCAGGAAAGGATAAAACCGCTCACTCTGTCCCTTAAAGAGATTACTGCGAAGGTAAGTGTGCCCGTTTTCTAAAGAAATCTCTGAAGTTGTCTTTTGACTTCATTTCATGTGTGGCTCAGAGAATGTGTGGGCTCTGGAAGGATTGCAGACTTTGCAAAATCATTCATTCCGCAGCCAAGCGCCGGGCCAGAGGGCCAGAGGGCCAGGGCCCCGGGCGGCTCCTGTGGGCAGGGCCTGGCTCTCGGTCCTGCCGGAATCCATGGTCTGGCCTTAGCTTCAGAGGGAGCAGTCAGTGAGGGGGCGGGACACTGACCGCTGCTGTGCACGGTCAAACAAATGCCTTTGTTCAGAAAGCCTTTTGGGGTAGGATTGTCGCGGGAAATCAGTGCTTTTTCTTCCTGGAGGGTGGGGTTCAGGCCCCTCACATCCGGAAACGGGGTAGCAGGTGTTGTTTTATAAAAGTTTTCAGATTGAGCTCAGGGTCGTTTTGCCTGTTTCCCCTGCCGTTCACACTCCACATCAGGCTTGCTCTGTGTAGAAAGAGAGCAGGTCTTCACCACGCCCTGAGAAAGCGCAGGCAACCCACTCACACAGCTGTGTCCTGGTTGGCTAGGACGACCACGGTTTACAGAGCAGAGCCCTTCCCTGCAGAGACAGGTGTGCCCGGCCGAGTGATCGACAGACTGAGAAGGAGGAGCAGTTACTCTCTGGAGCTGTCCCTGAACGTGGGGCAGAGGGCTGGGTGTGAATCACGGACTATTTGCGTTGGGCCTGGGAGCCAGGGGTGGTTATACGATGGTCGCAAGGTGAAAAGAACAGGTTTCTGAGCAGAGCGTGAAGCCGACGAGAGTCCTCTGGCCTGGAAGGAAATCTCGCTTGCTCTCGGTGCCCCGGGAACGAGACCAGGAGGGCCTGCCAGGGGTCTCGCGGGGCACACAGCTAAGCTGAGATTGGGGCTGAGCTGGCAAAAGTCTCCACGGTTACTCTGGCCCTTCTCCCAGTGTCTGTGTCTGATCCATTTCTGGAAATGGCATTAACTGATTTTGCCAAAAACCACACCACACCACAGCAGCTTGACGAGCTACTATGTGGAAAGGAGGGCCTCCCGTCAGGGTTCAGTCTCATCCACACAAGGGCATTGGGCCCAGGGACCCGGATGCTGGAGAGAAGGTCCCAGGAATGTCGGCCCAGAGGAGGGCTGGAGGGGCCCGCCTGAGTCCCCAGGCAGAACCCCGGTAAAGGGCTTTCCTCCCAGGCTCCCCCCCCCCCAGTGGGGTGGAGCCCTCCCCGCCCCCACGGGGGCCAGCCTGATGGACAGCAGGGGCCAGGGAGGCCGGCTGGCCTTACCACCTTTGCCGTGCGAAGCAGGAGCGGAGGCATTAGAAAGCAGACCTGAACTTCCGCCTACACAGTCACGGCGAGGTCACCCTCCAGGATCCATGCCCTGCCAGCGTCTGCCACCGTGACCTCCGACCTCCGAGGAACCCAGGGAGGTGGGGATGGGCGGGTGGCAGAAGCACCCCCTCCTCTGTGTTTCCAGCTGTGAACACAGGCCGTACCAGTGTGCTCTGACTTCTGCGTGGAAGTGAAACGCGGGAGGGCTCTCGGGTGTGAGTTTGTTGTCGCTGGGTGCCATGTGCATGGGTCTGGGTCGCCACAGTGAGTGTGCAGGTGTCACCATATGTAACACAGGTGGTGTTTGTACGCGAGTTTCTCATTTGATTCGTCCTACGTGCACACGCACGCACGCACGCACGCATTTGCGCAGGATCTGGGACAGGGGGATGACCTCCCACGCCGGTTAGAGCTGCTGGGTTTGCCCCAGCGCCGGAAGTGGCTGGCTCTGTGCGCACGCCTTCCCTAATGCACCTGAAAAACCTCTAATCCCCTCGCTTTTCCATGCGATCAAGGAACTCACGTCTCAGATTAAAATGTAAACGTAAGAGCTCCATTGATAATGAGTTCCCGAGGGTCCAATTTTATTTGGAAGTAAAAAGGAGATGCACATTTCCTGGGGGGTGCATGCGTGTGTGTATGCAGGTAAGTGTGTATGCAGGCAAATACGTGTGTGGTGAGGGGCATCATTAGTCTACAGAGAACTGAAACGAAACTAGACCCGGTCACACAAGGTAACTTTCCTTCTGCTCCGGACTGGACCTGGTGACCTGGAGGCGGAAGTCACAGCTGGGCAGCGTTTTCTTGGCTCCATGGATGAGCGTCAGAGAGCTGGCGATCTTTCCATTCCTCCCTCAGGGGGGATAGACCCTTCCCACCACTCACTGCGCTTCTTCCACCCCCGTGGGTTCCCCAAACCAAAGGTGAATTAAGGGATAAACGAGATGGAGGAAATAGCTGGAAGTGGATGGGGTATCTGGAGAGCGGTAGCTCTTAGATTAGACCCAGCAGTGCCGGGAAGAATGTACTTTGCCGTTGAAAAAGGTTCAGAGAGCTTGTTTCTTGTTAACAGCAACAGCCCGAAGGGTAGGTGTGCTGCACAAAGGGGAAACTGGCCCAGTTGTGATTGATGAACAAATACCATTCAATAAAGTCAGAAATATTGGATGTTCCCTGGCTGAGACAGAGGGGTGATGGCCGGTGTTGTGGAGTCAACATGAATGTCCTCGGCCTTCGATGACTTTGTTAGATGCAGGGGAGGGGGAGTGTCCGTCACCGGGCGTGGAGGCTGGCCTGAGACTCCACCCTGGGGGGACGGTGACCAGAGCATCGTCCGTCTAACTGCCAGTTCTGGCATCCCGACAGACCCCAGGGCCGCTAGCAGTCTGGACCTGCGGGGGCTCGGCTCTGCTGGTGCAGCTTCGTTGCCGTGGCCACACGCCATGGCTGTCGTCTCGAGAGAGCACTTCACGAAGAGGTGTGGGCACTCGCAGCTGCTGGCGGGACAAGACCCTGTCCCAGGCCGCGGGAGGAGCGGTGCAGCGTTTCAGGCCGGACGGCGAGCTCTTCTTAGGGTCTAAGAACAACCTCAATTCCAGTCTGCGATAAGCAAAATGCTTCACGTTGATGGTATTCAGCGAGATCCAGGTTCTTCTGGGAAAATTAAATGTATTTTCTCTGGGCTCTGTGAACCAAAATGGGTTGATTTCAGTCGTTGAATGGAATCCTGTATTTTCAGCAAGAAAAGAGGGACGTGGCCAGGGAGCACCCGTTGTGGGTCGCCCCCGAACACCCCATAGTTATCACCCAACTGCGCTGTGTGCTTTTGTGGAACTGGAAGTTTTTCCAAGTAGCTCATTAATCTGAGTGTCGACATGAACTGGACGTGAAGTTTTTGTCTGAAACAGAAAAGAAAAATTTGTGATGTTTTGGTTTCAAACAAAATAAAAGACAACCTCAGGCATTTGGAGAAAAGAAATCGAGATTTCAAATGTGTGCTGTTTTTGAGAAAGCAAAGAAAAATGCACAAAGTGCTTGGAGCGTCCCGGAAAAATAAGTGATACAACCTGCAAATCTCACTGAGATCTGCTGGTCTGATTTTCGAATCTGACTCACCAGCAAGTACCTGGCCTCCAAGTTCCTCCAGACAGTGCCTCCCGGGACTCTGCTGGGCCCGCCACGCTGCCCTTCGTCTCAAGGCTGCGCCCCTGTGCCTGCTGCCTCCCGCGTGCCAGACGCAGGACCGAGTCCCGGCGCACACGGAGCTTGTGCCCCGGCAGGGAGACGAGAGGAATAACAAAGGAATACGAACAAATAACGTGTCAGTGCGGGAGGAAGCAATGGGAAAACATGAAGCAGAGTAAAAAAGCAGGAGGGGAGGGAGGGGGTGCGTTTTTTTTTCCATCCTCACCTGAGGGTATATTTTTGTTAAAGTAATATTAGGGGGAGGAGGGGAAGGAGAGAAACATGGATGTGAGAGAGAAACATTGATCTGTTGCCTCCCGCACACACCCTGGGGATTGAACCTGCAACCTAGGCATGTGCCCTGACCAGGAATCAAACCCGCGACCTTGTGGCGTGTGGGACGATGCTCCCACCAACTGAACTGCCCTGCCAGGGTGGGGTGTTGTTTTAAGTAGGTAATGAGCCAGGCCTCGCTTCCCAGAGGATGTGCGAGCAGAGCCCTGAGGGGTGTGAGTGGGCTGAGCCACCCGTGGCCAGAGTAGTTCAGAAGGAAGGAGGGAGTGCAGAGGCCCTGAGGAGGGTGGGCAAAGTGGTGACACTGTTGGTTTTGCGTGTGGGTGTCCTGGAAGGACAGCCTGCGAGGCATAGGACCTAATGCTTGGATATGCCAATGCTGGCTTTATTTTGCTCCTCCCTCCCTCCCTGCATCGCTTGCTTTTTGAGAACTCTCTTCCAATGACTCTATCACCCCTTGGAGTCCTTACAAACCCAGAAACCTCCGACCTGGCTGCTGTGTCGCCTTCTGATTTTTGCCACGATGATTCACGGCTGTTTCCCTCCCTCCAGGTGTGCAGGACCGAGAGACTGTGCAGCACTCTCAGGAAGAAAGTTAACGAAATTGACACCCAGCTACCGGCGCTGTTCGAAGCCAAAATGCTCGCCATATCAGGTAACTGGAGATAGAGCAGACATTGAAGTAGCCGAAGCAGCCCGATGACCACCACTGTCCATGTGTTGTCCCTGATGGACATTCTGCCTGTGACTTATGTCACACTTACATACTGTAGAGCTTTTCTGGGGAGGGTCACTAAAACCCACGGTCTCCTTATAAAGGGTCGGGTAAGGCGCTGAACTATCCATATGCGCATTTGTGAGGGTGCCCAAGTTTGGGCTTCCACTTCCTGTTCCTCGAAGACTTTAAGACGAGACATGCTGTGTGCCCCGCATCATGCTAGCTGGTGTCTCTGTAGCATTATGTGTCTCTAGGTGCTCAGTGAGGATTATTGGATGCGACGGGCCCCTTCCTATAGGGGGAGGAGCGATAACACGAGACAAGGTGAGGCACCCAGCCTAACAGTCTGGTCATACATTATAGTGTCCCAGAGATTCTCAACAGACCATAATTTCTCCCCCCTCTGGTAGTTATAAAGGGATACATCACTCCATTAATTGGGAGGTTGCAAACAGGAGTTTCTGAGAATAACCTCTTACCCTATCATTTGGAGAGCACTTTTTAAAAAAGATTTTATTTACTCATTTTTAGAGAGGGAAAGGAGGAAGAAAGAGAGAGAGAGAGAGAGAGAGAGAGAGAGAGAGAAAGAGAGAGACATCAATGTGTGGTTGCTGGGGGCCATGGCCTGCAACCCAGGCAAGTGCCCTGACTGGGAATTGAACCTGCGATGCTTTGGTTCACAGGCCGTGCTCAATCCACTGAGCTTCGCCAGCCAGGGCTAGAGAGCACTTTTAAACATTCTGCTGTGTTGTTTATTTTATTTGCAGAACAGCTACATTAGCTTGGTGGGAGAGATACAGATCGGGGATCTCCAGGGACAGAGGGGGAGACTGAGGCCCTGGGCTGGGCCCTCGGGCTGAGGTCACTCAGTTACTAAGAGGTGGCAGGTCAGGGGGCAAGAGTCCAGGGGTGACACGTGGACATGTAACCCAGCTGGGTGCTGACATCCTCAAGTGCACTCTGAGTTTTGTAGGTTGAATGAATGCACAGCTCATCAGCTTCAGAAAGAATCATAAAAACGTACAAAAAGGTATAATAATTACATGTATGGGTTTTAAATGGCGTTTTAAGAAGCAATACAATAATTGGCAGCTTCTGCTGTTCAGGCCATTAAACAAGGGATGCTGGCAGCTAACGAGCTGTTGAGTCCCTGGCGCAGCCGTGCGGATTATTTACAACCAGGAGAACATCGGAACGGGAGCGGGGGGCTTGGCTCTTAACAGCTTCTCGTGCCATTTACTTGGAATTATGGCCTCATTTGCGGAGAGAAAAAAAAAGAAGCGTGAACACAGTCTTGCCTCTGAGTTAGGGCTTTGCCTCCCTCCGTCAATGCATCTTTCCCGGGAATACAGGTGGCTGTGTCTCCATTAAGCCCAAGGGAGGAGATACATCATCCAGGCAGCAGAAATAGCCCTCTCTCACATGTGAATAATCTCTTTTCAGAGCCCCAGGAAACATTCCTAGGTTGGCGTGTTGCATGTGGGGCCTGGGTTTTCTGTGTAGTTCTTCCATCAGCGGGGGGAATTGGGGAGTCCCGGGTTAACTGGACTGGGAGCTCACCTCTTGACCTCCCTGCTTCCGGATTTCTCCTCAGGCCCTTGGTGACGGGCCTTCCAATCAATGGCTAGATCCTCAGGGGCAGGGGCGGGGCCGGGGGCAGGGTGGTCCTCATTCTCCTGCAGCTTCTGCATACAACGTGATTGTTGTTTCCTTTGGAGCTGCGCTCCGCAGCAGGGAGGGACCGCATTAGTACCTACGGAAAGCCTCACTCATTAGATGGAAGCCACAAGGACAAGCCTCCCTGAGGGGAGCCTTTTCTCCGTCTTGGGCTATCTTGTGCATGCCGAAGGCCATGCCCTTGGCATTCTTAGAAGCCCCAGTGAATGTGGAAGATCTTAAAGGATGCCCTTGAGACCATACAGGGCCTTTTGTCTGTCTGTCTGTCTGTCTGTCTGAAAGTTTCTACAATTCATCATCCTCCATGCCTCCATCCCAGATTCAGTCAATGGAATGGGGCCTTTTCTTAATTTGAGAATCATTGGCTATCTGCAGAGACTAAGAAATAGCTTTATTTTCAAACTCAGCAAGTCCTAGCTTCTTCTTACTGAAGAGTGTTCTTTGTTCCCCTCTGTTCCCTGGCAGTTTATCACAGGCAGTGACCAGCAGCCAGTGGGCACATCTGTGTTCTGCCTGGAATCCCCTTGGCTATGTGATGAACTTCACCAAGAACTCTTTTCTCAATGACCTCAGTTGGCTATGTTTCCAGACTTTCTGTCACTGCGTTACTTGGGTCCCCTCCCGTCCAGCTGTCAGTGGTATTTTTCTTGCTTCCCTTCCAGCCTTCACGGAGGCTGTTCCGCTTCTACCTGGTCCCAGTGCCAATGCCTCGGATCTCAGGGGTTTGCTCCAGCAGTGCTTTGCTCTCGGACACCAGAATCCGTTCACGTTGCTGACTGCTGCATAGCAGACCGGCCTAGTCACTCAGGGTGTAGTCACTTAAAACACCGCTAGTCATTTATTTTGTCCATGAATGTGCAGCCGGCCAGGGACAGCTCGGGTGGCCTGACTGGGGCTGGCGAATCCACTGCCAAGGTCACGTGCACCTGTGGCTGGCAGGTTGGCCAGTCTGTTGGTTCTCATCCCTGCGAGCCTCACTGTTCCAGCTCGGCTTCCTTATCGCACGGCCGCTAAGTTCTAAGAGTGTCCGAGACCCAGGAACCGGAACTTTCTTATCTCTGATAAGCAGAAACAGGCGGGTGTCTCTGTTGACGTGGGATCGGCTCCCCCCAAAGTTGCCTTGAAACAGCAAATGTTTGTAAATCACACAGTTCCTGAGGGCGTGGGGTCCAGAAGCAGCGTCGGGGGTGGCTCCAGCTCCGGGTCTCATGAGGTCATGGTCATGATGTGGGGCGGGGCTGCGGTCATCTTCCAAGATCCCTCCCCTGGCCCTGCCATCGGGCCACTCATGGCATGGCAGCTGATGTCCCCAGACCAAGTGACCTGAGAGGGAAAGCAAGCAGGACAGAAGCCACTGTGCCTTGTTAGGACTCAGTTTCCAAAATGAGTGGGAGGAGATCTGGCCAGGAGGTGACCCCTTGGCCTGCTGTCACTTACTGTGGAAGGTTCTGGCTCATGAACTTGTAGGAAAAGGACTGTGGTTGCATCTACCTCCCTTATGACAAGGTGGCTTTGGCCCCACGTGACTGTGCAGCTTCCTGCCCACTGAAGTAGAATGGACTACTCTTTGATGGTAAGGATTCCTTTGTCCATCTGGTTTTCGGGACTGAGGTCAAAAGCAGAGTCCTGCTGAGGCCTCCCCCCAGGCCACTGGTAACCTTAGCCCTGGAGGTCTGTCCACTGTCATGGCTGGTTCCACCCAGTAAGGTGAGCCAAGGAGGAGAAGCGTGTCTCCCCGAGGCCCGCAGCAGTTCTGATCCAACTGCCCATTTCACCATAGATTTTCTGGGTCAAGGTCGAGAGGCCTCTTTCTTTCCATGGAAGGCTGCCCCAGGCCCACCTTGTTGGACTGGCTGCCTGGAAATGAAGTGAGAGCAAAGGTCTCACAAGGCGCTGTGTGGCAGGGAACTGAGCCTGGACAAGGGCCCCTTCCCCTTCGCTGCCTTCACTGAGAGCTCTACCCCCGCTGCAGGCCTTGACTGTGTTGGTGCCTCACTAAGCTGTTGGCCTCCAGGGGGCAGAGCAAGGGGATGGGCTCAGAACCTTCTAGAGTGTGTGTGGTGGGTGTACGGCTGACATGGGTTCCGTGGCTAAGGTGTCAACATGGGAAGCACGGGCCCAGCTCTGGAGCTGTCCTAGGTCCTGCCCAACCACGGATGGCCTCCTGCCACAAGCACTTGTGTCTGAGCTCAGTCACAGCTGTGGCCTCCTCACCCCTCCTCCCGTTCCCAGGACCTTTCCTGCCAAGAAACAGAGCACATTTATGGGGTGATAACCCACGTTTATGACTCAGCAACAAGCGTTCTTCCTGCCTGCCCCTGGCCTCCTGCCTTGGATCCTGTCTCAGACTCTGGGCCAGCAGTGCTGCTGAGACACAGTGCTGGGCTGGCCCCCAGGCCCTGCTGGGGGCGGGAGGGAGGGGTCTTCCCGCGCCTGTGCTCCGCAGCCTGGCAGGTAGCGTGGCGCTGGTCTGGCGCTCCGGCCCTTTCTGCTCCCCTAGGGTCAGGGACCGGTGCCTGGTCTCTGAGATCGCCGATCCCGACCAGGTGCCTGCATTTCTGGCTCCTGCCCGACGCTGCCCGGGTCATCTGCGGTCAGTGCTCCGGCCCATCTGTGGAGTCACCCTGCTGTGCTTTTCTTGGGCTTCGCCTAATGCCTGGCACTCGGGAGACAGTCAATAAGGGTAATTTTTTTTTTAAAGGAGCCTCAAATGCAGACAATTGTAATTGAACAACAATAAAATAATTAAAAACAATAAAAAGGAGCCTCATTTATTGATGGCTGATCTCCAGAACTTGTTATTTGCACGCTCCCTTTGGGTGTCCCCTTGGTTTGGGTGTCCCCTCAGGTGGTATATCTTCTGTCCCACCTGCCTTCTCTGATCTGTGTTCAGAAAATAACCAGCCAGATTACCAGCCAGTTCAGGTAATCACTTATTCTTTTTTATTCTTCAGTTACAATTGACGTTCAATATTGTATTAGTTTCAGGTGTATGGCACAGTCATTAGGCATTTATATAATTTATGTAGTGGTCCTCCCAAAGTCTAGCACCCGCCTGGCCCCATACTTAGTCATGACAATGTTATTGAGTGCATTTCCTGTGCTGTCTGTTCCATCCCTGTGACTATTTTGTAGCTGCCAATTTGTACTTCTTAATACTCTCGCCTTTTCCACCCAGCCTCCAAGCCTCCTCCCATCTGGCAACCATGTTTGTTCTCTGCTTTCAGGAGTCTGTTTCTGTGTTGTTTGTTAATTTATTT